CAGTGTGAGTTTCCAAGGGTTGCTTTATGTCTGAAACTCATTCCACACTGATCATATGCCAATGGCTTCTCTGGAGTGTGAAGTCCCATGAGTTTTGAGGCTTACTTTACAACTGAAACTCTCTCCACACGATGGCATATAAAACCGTTCTCTCCTGGGTGTTCTCTCTTCGTGTGGAAATCAAGGGACTCTTTCTTTCTGAAACTCTTTCCACACTGATCACATGTGAATGGCTTCACTCCAGTGTGACAGAACATGTGGGAATTAAATCTATGTTTATATATAAAACTCTTTCCACACTGTTGGCAGGTGAAGGGTTTCTCTCCAGTGTGAATTTTCATGTGGATTTTAAGGGTTTGTTTTCGATCGAAACTCTTTCCACACTGCTGGCAAATGAAAGGTTTCTCTCCAGTGTGACGTATCTTGTGGCATTTGAGGTTTTGTTTACGTGAGAAGCTCTTCCCACACTGTTGGCATATGAAAGGTTTCTCTCCAGTGTGATGGTTCATGTGGTATTTAAGGTTTTCATTACTTGAGAATCTCTTTCCACACTGCTGGCATATGAAAGGTTTCTCTCCAGTGTGATGCTTCATGTGGGAACCAAGGCCTTGTTTATGTCTAAAACACTTTCCACACTGTTGGCACGTAAAAGGCTTCTCTCCAGTATGAATTCTCATGTGGTTTTTAAGGTTATATTTTTGATTGAACCTCCTTCCACATTGATGGCAGGTGAAGTAACTGTTAGATTCGATCTGCTGAACTTTTTTTCGTGATGAAGTTGTTTCAGTCTGTATGGATTTTTCCACAATCATGAAATCAAGTCTCTCATATTGATCTTTCTCTTCTATCGTTGTCAGTTCTTGCCTCTCTTCTTTCAGCGCCATCAGGTCTAAAGTGAAAAAAGACAAATACATGTTAATGGCACTTTAATAGCTTAAAACGTCAGACATCAAAACCAAGATAAAAGTATTAAATCCTGAAAATCAACATTATGCGCAAAACTGTTTTATTATAGACTACTGGCTTTCACTCCTGGTCCTAGGGACCCACCGCTCTTCTTATTTTGTAAGGGTGCTTTCACACCTGTAGATCGATTGCTTTGTTCCGAAACACGGATTAAAATGATTACAATGTTGCTATTTATTCTTGGCGCGGCTCGCTTTCACACGGCAAAGTTTCTAAACGGACCAAATTTGTTAATACAAGTCACGCGCGAGTAAACTGTTCTCTCATTGGTCAAAGTTCCACGGGTTATCTTCCGGGATTCCACTCAGCTGTCACCCGTCAGGATGGAATGACCACAGCTTTTTTTTTTGTAGCTCAAAACAAAACAACGGTCACTAATTAGAAGTACAAAATGAGGATTTGTAAAGAAGAATGTCGGAGGATTTCGATATAAGCCAAGAGGAGACTGGTTTTCCTTTGCTAAAATAAGGAAACTTTGCTTCCTATGCTACTGTAAACAAATGTTGGTTTTCACGAGACTCACCGGCGCATGCGCAGCACTGACCTCATACATCATGCTCCTGGAGCTGCTTCCGTGTACAACAGTGAGCGCAAGCTACATTAAAATGATAAACCTTTTGAATATGGATATTTTTCTTACAAAAACGCATTGATTCGCTACAGGAGGCCTTTGTTCACCCCCTGAAGCCGTGTGAGACACTTTTTTATGGATGGGCGCTTTTTATTTAACTGCTTTTGGACTGATGCATGCAACACCCGCTGAGTGCCATGAAACAGCTTGAAAGATCAAAGACAATTTTTAATATAACTCTGACTGGATTCGTCTGAAAGAAGAAAGACATATACACCTAGGAGGACTTGAGGGTGAGTAATTTATGGGCTAATTTTCATTTTTGGGCAAACTAACCCTTTAAGACCCACTTCAACATGCATACAAGTCAAATAGATCCACAGAGGATGCAAAAAACACTGCTCTTTACATTGCACTGAAACACCTGCAGCAGAAGGGCACATACGCAAGTATGCTTTCTGTTATCTATAGCTCTGCTTTTAACACCATCTTCCCCAGCAGGCTGGTCACAAAGATGCTGGACCAGGGCCTTAGTAACCAGCTGTGTCTGTGAATCGAGGACTTCCTCAGACTGAGAGACTGGGCACACACGTGTCCTCAATCCTGACCCTTAGCACTGAAGCACACAAGGGTGTGTGCTGAGCCTCTTCTACTCCCTCTACACACGATTGCACACCAGTTTTCCTCACTAACACAATAATCAAATTTGCTCATGACACAACAGTGGTGGGGCTTATCTCTGACAGTGAAGCTGCCTATAGAGATAAGGTGTGCAGACTTGCTGAGTGGTGTGCAGACAACAACCTGTCTCTCAACATCAAGAAGACAAAAGAGATAATTATAGACTTCAGGCAACAATGAGAGGACCTCATTTAAGCGATTAATTTCAGAAAAAAATGTGTGATTAATTAATTTTTTTTACATTTACATTTAGACATTTAGCAGATGCTTTCATCCAAAGCGACTTACAAATGAGGACAATAGAAGCAATCAAAATCAACAAAAGAGCAATGATATGCAAGTGCTATAACAAGTCTCAGTTAGCTTAACGCAGTACACGTAGCAAAGGTTTTTTAAATAATAATAAATAAAAAGAAAACAGATAGAACAGAAAAATAATAGAGCAAGCTAGTGTTAGATCTTTTTTGCTTTTGTTAATTGTATAATAAATTAAAAGAAAACAGATAGAATACAAAAAGATTAAAAAGCTAGTGTTAGTTTTTTTTTTAAATAAAGAAAACAAGCAGTAAATGAATAGAGTGCAAGTCTAAAAGGGACAAGTGTTTTTTTTAAAGAATAGAATTAGAATAGAGAGTGCTAGAGTTAGAGGGTCAAATAAAGATGGAAGAGATGTGTTTTTAGCCGATTCTTGAAGAT